TTTCCCTCCTGTAGAGAAAACAGTAAGTTATTCCTAGGGTAAAAATAGTCCATGAGGCAGTATCCCTGCTGGTAGAGGCAGCTAAACTGGTACAATGTTATCAAAAATCGATCACAGAATCATAGAATGCCTTGAGTTGGAAGGGATCTAGTTCCAACATCCCCACCATGGGCAGAGACACCTCCCACTAGACCAGGTTGCTCAGAGCCCCATCCAGCCTGGCCTTAAAAGCTCTGGGCAACCTGTTCTTCTTAATGTCCAAGCTAAATCTACCCTGCTCTAGTTTAAAACCATTGCCCCTTGTCCTAGCACCACATGCCCTTAGAGAGTACTCCGTCAGCTTTCCTGTAAGCCCCCTTCAGGTACTGGGAGGCTGCTACAAGGTCTCCAGAGAACCTTCTCTTCTCCAGGCTGAACAGCCCCAACTCCCTCAGCCTATCTGTGCAGAAGAGGTGCTCCAGCCCTCTGATCAGTTTTGTGGTCCTACTCTGGAGCCTCTCCAACAGACCCATGATGGCCTTCTTGTGCTGGGGGCTCCAGAGCTGGACATAGTACTCCAGCAAACCATTTTGGGGTTAGTTTTTACAAGAATGTTTGGGAGAAGGAATGTGCGCATTGTCCATCTTTTGCTTGCACAGAATTTTAAGTTCTGAAATATTCAGGAAAATATTAGGAATGGATCAAAAGCACATTCTAACACACTATATGCTGTCTCAAGACAGATATGGATCTAACCCTCAACTTTAGAAGAAAATTCTAGCTAAATCTCAAATCTAAAGCTAAAAATAAATGCAGTTCTGAAATTTTCTGATGGCTTCCTTTAAGAATCTCCTGAAGTCTCTTAGTGTGTTTTGGTCCTTGGACGATACATCACCTTTTTTTTTTTTTCTCCTAAAACCCAGCCTTAGTTGTAGAACTGTGACAGAAAATCAGTTTTCATTTCAAGGGAAAAATCAAGACGTAAACATCTGGTCTGTAACGACGTACTTTTTGATGGTGCCCAGTAACAGGACAAGGAATAATGGGTTTAAGTTAGAACATAGGAAATTTCACCTCAACATTAGAAAAGTCTTTTTCACTGTGAGGGTGACGGAGCACTGGCACAGGCTGCCCAGAGAGGTTGTGGAGTCTCCTTCTCTGGAGACTTTCAAAACCCACCTGGACGCGTTCCTGTGTGGTTGCCCTAGGGGATCCTGCTCTGGCAGGAGGGCTGGACTAGATGATCTCTTGAGGTCCCTTCCAACTCCTGACACTCTGTGATTCTATGATTCTATGAAATATCGGTATAAGATTCTGAAACTAAACCAAGTGAAGTAAGTCTTTTCAAAGTGGAGGAAAGAGAAAATAAAAGAAGCAGATATGTACTTTTATTTACTTTTTGAACTGTTCTTTAATACAATATCTATGGTAAGGTTACCTACTCTTATTCTGAAACATCATAACTCAATAAACAAAGAAAAAGAGTTAAAATCAATATTGAACAGAGTACTCAAAAGAAAACAGTTTTGTTAAGCCTAGAGTAATGGCAGGTAACCAGAGCCTACAGAATCATAGAATGGCCTAAGCTGCAAGGGACCTTAGAGATCATTTTAATCCAGCCTCCCTGCCGCCAGGGATGCCACCTCTGAACTAGATCAGGCAACATATGGGGACCTGATTTTCCAGAAAAGAAGTTTTATATGAGCAGTTCCTTCCATTTTCAGGAGAAGCCAAACACCATTTCAAAGCCAGAACAAACTAGAAAAAATATTTTTTTTCCTTAAGAAGATAAAGATACACTTGAGAATTCTAACTGTCTGGAAGAAATAGAATAGATGAAGCCTTGGTCTGCCTCACAGACACTGGACACAGAACTGTGTGCAAAGCAGAGCCCCAGTCTTTTTGCATCTCTGTGCCCAGGAAGTTGTCAAAGGTTATAACCTTCTTGCCAATTAAAACAGCCTGAATTATTAAATTATTCAGGAACCTGCTCGTTAATTATTGCTTCTCAAGTACTTCTGAGCTAAAATTGATACGCATTAACATTCTTAGGAATGTATTATTTTCTCATTTTTAGTCAGAGTTTTCGTGCCAATTACTTTGATAAAAGCATCTCTCTCTCAAAATCGAAACCTCATCAGACAGTACAAGCACAAACCTTGTCTGAAAGACAAACTAAGTTTTTGAGGTCACTTGTGATTTCAAGCTCTCTGAAAGAACAAAGAGAAGGTGGAGTGGTACCACCTCATCTAAAGTGAGCTGCAAAAAGCTCTCTTTCTCCCTCACTTTCTTCTTTCTTTCTTTCTTTTTCTTTTCTTTCTTTCTTTCTTTCCTTTCTTTCTCTTTCTTTCTTTCTTTCTTTCTCTTTCTTTCTTTTTCTTTCTTTCCTTCTTTCCTTCTTTCCTTCTTTCTTTCTTTCTTTCTCTCTCTCTTTTTCTTTCTTTCTTCTCTCTCCATCTCTCTCTCCCTCTCCCCCTTCTCTCTTTCTTTCTTTCACAATACAACCCTTCCCTTTGAAATGTGTTTTTTAAATTCTTACTCCAACCACAAGATAGAAAACATTTTGCTTTCATATATATGTTATATATTTATATTTAACAGTGTGTATATATATGTTTTTATTATACAACATTACACTAACTCATACTATTATATACAAAATAACAAGATGTATTTTCATACATAATTATACAAACTATATAATGTTACTATTACATATATCATATCAAAATATATAATATACAAAAACTAATTTATAACTTACATATATTGAAATACATATTTTTCAAGAAGAAATTTTTCTGACAGCTCTGCTGAAGACTCCTTACCTTTATTCATTTTTGGCAAAACATAGAACTGGAAAACTTGATTACTTGCAATACATGCCATGAACAGATGTTAGTTCAGTTAGCAGATCACAAAACATTTCTTTCTATTCTTCACACAAGTGCTGCAGCTAAAAGGATTGTCATCTCAGAAGCTCACATTTAAGTGTGTGAAACAACAGAACAAAAGTAAAAGTCTACCTGGCATTCCTCTGACTCTTCTGCGGTCCCTGGAAGAATAGAAGGCTTCGCTGGTAATTTCAGTTCATAGGACATTATGCTCCACCTGAAAGAAACATAACAGCTTTTAAGTTTACAGATAGTTAGTTTTATCTTTTCTCCAACGTACTAAAAAAAAAATTTGCTCCCACACCACAGAGTAATTTGTTGTACTTTTTTTTTAAAAAAAAGCAGATTGATTTTTACTTGTAAGCTATTTGCACATCAACGAAATAATGGAAATCAATGGCAATAATTTGTTTCATTGCTCAGATTATTTGTTAGTAATTTGATAATAAGCCTTATTTGTGAACAAATCCTAGGACACTCAGTGCAGGCAACAAAAGATTTTCCAGCAAAAACAATCACTATATAAAAAGATTTGTGCAAACTAAGTGCAGAACTCAACAGAAAAGACGTGTTCCTAGAGAAAAAGCTCTGAGGTAACATTAGCTTTTTATCTCAACTAGGGAAGCAGGCATGAGAACAAAGCAAATGGTGAAGTATCATCATTGACAGATAATTTTTTTTTCCCCTGGTAAAGGACAGTACTCTACAGCACAGATAGTATGAAACTGCTAATAGCAACATCCTTCAAAGCCTGCTGCAAAACCCAAGTAATCACTGTAGATGGCCTTGGGAGCAAGTCTATTGAAACTGAAAAAAATGAAACTGAGCCTTTTTTTCAGTACAGAAAAAGGCAAACATGATTTAATCTACGAGTCTTTCAGAATCCCCAGGCCAACACTTATTTCTAAGGATCAGTAACAAGCGTTTCTCTACATTGCTATAAAATGGTCAAGTAGTCTACAGAAGAGCTTAAAATATAAAAGGACTTATTTCCCTACTTCATAAAAAAACACACTAAAATAAAATTATGACATTCAAGTGTTTGTAACTAGGGCAAGAACATAAACACCCATGAGAGAAAGGAACAGAGTAAGAACTATTCCTCTCAGAACATTACACTTCTTTGGAACAACATCTTCTCTGACTTTTTTTTTAATGGAGATTGCTACCTTGTCTTATGGATGAAAACTACACAAAACAAGGAGCGCGAAGATCTCTTGGTTTTCACTAGGAAAATGACTCAAACAGAAACACTAGTAGTAGACAGCAGATCAGGTAGTAGTAGTAGATCAGGCCAAAGATCCAGTCAGACCAGCATCTTGTCCACAGCTGACACTTCAGGAAATTGTATCACGGGTGAAAGGACACGATACCAGTTCTCCCCATATCTGAGGGCAGAGAGCCCAGGTGTCTCCTAAATAAAGATGCTACTCTTTATAGTATTTAATACTGTGCATGGAGTCCACAAAACTGCTCTAAATGGTTTTAAATCTATACAATTTCTTAATGCTTACAACTTCTTGTAAGAGGCAGTTAAGCAGCTTCATCAGCTACGCAATGGACTGTTTTGTCACCTTTTGTTAAACTTTGGGCAACATACATCTTAAGGTTCATCAACCGCTCTGCCCTATGACTCTTCACTTTAAAAAGGACACTGAAGAGCTGGCCCCATTATTACCTCAGTTTCCCTCATGATTACGATTTGCACCCTAAAAATAAAAACCACTGAACATTAGGTCTCTAAGATCGATCAAGAAACCTAAAAAAACTACCATTTGAATTTCCTGGTAAATCATGTAGATGCACATTTACGTTTACCTGTCTAACATTTTTGTGCTGGCTCGTTCTAGTTTCTCCAATATCTGAGGAAGCTGAGTATCATCATCACAGGATCCGCCCCAACCAAGGACACGAGCAAGATCATTTCCAGTACCAAGGGGTAACACTCCTAATTGACACTGAAACACAACACAGGAGCAAATCTACTATTGAAAACGAGAAAGAAAAAGTACAATCTACTACAAATGCTAGTTATTTCAAGGAACAAATGTTAAATATGCAGCCGATGTCTAAAGCTTGTAAATCTAACTGTCCAATGCCGTTACAACTTGTATTTACACCAGCGAAAATTTTCATTTAACAGTAACTATTGAGTTTGGCTCATAAACAGAGATATGACAAAGAACCAAGTCAAGGAAAAATAAGCACATAAAATTAAGTTTACTCAGTACAGTGAAAGAAAGTAAGTACGTGCACTTGCCTGTTTGTGCAAGCTGAGCTTATCAATTTCAGACAAGACCCAACCCACGCTTCCATCGCCACCACACACAAGAATCCTGAAGTTGTCAAACTTCTGAAATAACCGCAAACTGCAGGGAAAATGTAGCCTGTTAGAGCCAGTTACATCCATTGGTGAGAGAGCAGTTATACTCAGTAGCAACTGTTAAAAGAAAATATGATAGCACTCTCATGGTCCTTTTCTTGTTCTGGGGAATGTGGATACAACCATCTACTTAATAAACCTACCTACAACCCATCTATTGCTGTATATTCCACTTATACTGACATTTCTGATAAATAACATGCCAAGTTTTCCTTTAAAAAATATCCCTTGATATTGTTTTCAGGATTTTATTCATATTATTTTATTAATGTTATCAATATTTTAAAAAGTAAATCTAAGCTATGAAACTGCAACTGCTTTACGCTTCCCACTTCATTCCAAAGCACCAGACACCTCTGGGGATTTTTCACGAGAAGAGGTGTTAAGATGCAACAAGATGTGCTGCACAACACGAGTGGGCTTTTGCCAATGAGTGACTAACTAAATGCAAGGACTGTTGGGAGACAATTATTATGTATAACATGATCACAACAATATAAGACAAATAATACAAGTATTTCATATTAGGTTCTTAAAGCTGTAGCCTGCTTAAGCCTCCTACGGCTCTCTCTCCTGTTCTCTGACTTTTAACATCTCCAGGATACAACACTTGGGCAGTACAGAAAAGGAGGAGAAGAGAGATAGAACAAGCAGAAAGGGGTTTTGAGGTATGAAGAAACATCCAAGAGGTAAAAACAACAGGGATTTAAACTTAAAAAAAAACAACCAAAAAACAACCTCCCCCCAAAAAAACCACAACGAAGAATTGGAACTCTTAAAATAATAAAAAAAATGTTTTTTAAATGCATGTCATTTTCCAGAAAATGTATAATCTCTGAACTATTTCTAAAAAGCAACATATTAAGATCACAAATCTTTGAAGTATATATACTTTTTTCTGAAGAAAAAAATGTGTATCATCGGCACATACCTATCCAGAACGAAAGATGCAGATATTTAAGGAAAAAAATGTTGATACTAGAACAATTTCTCCTACCCTGAGGAAAGGGAAGAAAACCCCTAGAAACATGCTGTCTCAAAGAATGCAACTTTGCTTTTTAGATCAGCTAGAAAAAAGAAGACACCAGCACAACCTGATATGATAACTGCTATGGACCTCTCTTTGGAAACTGGTTGGGAAAATATTTCAAAACAACTAACCTGGCCTACAATTACTGTGTAAAACCAAAGTGAGCCTCCCGAATCATGCTGCTGTTACGTACAACTATACGAAGCCAGAGAACTTGCAAACAGACAGACGTATTTTTCACACTGATCTCTTTCTCAAAAATTGTCTCACCAATTAAGATGAATTTTAATATGTCTTTATAATTACATTTACAAAAAATTAGGCAAAAAGGACTTAGATTAAATTAAGACTGTCAGGGTTACAATGAAAAGAACATTATAATTTAAAGAGCAGATATAACATGTCCGTAACACAGTACTAGTTATAAAAATCCACGGGTGTATTCCATTGTATTTGTATTATTTGCCCACTCTTTGAACTGAATTTTTGTGCATTTATTTTGTCTACAATTCCACATTTACAATTCTGCATCTTTAAGAGTACAAAAAGTAGTGATTCTAGTTGCTGTAACTGATATTAATAGGCCATTTAACCCCAATGTTACATCTGAGTGGAATTAAATCAGGCAATAGAAAAATGTGCATGAATTTAATATTTACGAATGCATAAATATGCTCAGGTTGTGGCTACGCAAATTTCATTCTATCTTTCCAACGATCAATCCTTAAATTTTGTAGAATGCCTGACGTTCTTCATTGTGTTCCTGCTCCAAATTTTGTGCGATGCTCATTTTCTTGGCCGTTTGCACATGCTGCATAAACCGAACTTTGAATGTAGTTACCAGATGACAAATGGTTTTAGCATCCTCGTCCATCACCCACTGCAGACTGACATTTGCATTCAGAATTCAAAAAGATACAGGGTACATTGAGACAACAGTTTATTCCATGGCTATTCACAAAAAATAGTTACAAGATTTATGCACATGAAATGGAAGAAAACCACGCAGGCAACTGGGCATAAAGGCTGCCATTCAGAAAAGCATCTAAATACTTGCAATGGTTTTGAACCTTACCGGTTAACAGAAGTCAAAGCCAGTCAACGAGCCACTAAACACTTGGGCTGTTGGCTTTAGTTGTTCTAAAAAGAAAACATCCTACAATTCCACCCGAATTCATCCTGACATTCTATTACCTCTTAGATTTTAATGAGGAAGACATATTAGATATTGGTGGTAGAATTATAGCACGGATGGGTCAACTCAACACTGTACTTGGCACTAAATTCCCTTGCGGAAAGGATTGCTCAAGATTTCCAAGGTCATTACCCTAAGTGAGGTCCTCCATTCATTAAATCGAACACCTGAGCTGGATTTAACGACTGTTTGAATCGACGAAGAAACTTTACTCCCTGATTGTCTCCACTCTTTGAGTTAACAAAAACTAAAAGAGGACTGGCACAGGATGGCGGGCATGTGGCTTTCCAGAAACCTGTGAACATAGTTAGAAAGAATGAAATAAATAAGGCTTTCTAATATGAACAACACAAAAAGAAAACATGGGAAAGAGGAAGAAAGGGATGAAGGAGAAAAGGAGTACGTTTTACCATGCACAATGTAAACGCTAAACTGAGTATCAGCACCACAAGGAAAACAGAATTGCTCAAGATTTACCATTTCATTTTTTTCTTCTCAGTATTTTCATTGCCTAGATTTAGTAAAATCCTGAAGACAATAGTTTTACTGGTTTTCAGCAGTGAAAAAGCTTACTAACCTTTTAGGATACTTCTCAAATCTCATCTTCACAGATACCACGTAATTACATATAAATTGCAGTTACAAGAGTCTGCGTTTTAATCCAATTTTCCTTTACTCTTACTGGGTTGAACTGGATCATCCACATCTCAGCTTTCTGAGGTTACTGTACTCAGTTGCTCACAGGTGAGACTTTGCATTAGAAGGTTTTTCTCAGACTGAAGTTGTACTATTAATTATAATAGAATTGTTGAATAACTGTGATCCAGAGCTTATTAAAGTCAGTGTACGTCTTAACTAATCACAGCAGGTCCTTACTAAGTAGTACTAATGGACACTGTTGTCATCAGTATGACCACTCCATGGAAGTGGTGGTTTCTCAGCAACGCTTCAAAATTGGACATCACAGGTATAGATTTTGACATTTCTTTCAGTAACATTAAAATAATTGTTGTTTTCATTTACTAAAAAAGCTACTAAGGCTACAAATAAAAAATTGGCATTAAAGGATGCTAATTTAACTCCACATTATCATAATGTATAATTTAAAACAAGGTTTGATTAATTTAGTTAAATGCCAAGAAAAATTATTTCACATATGGCACAATCCTCCTAGCATGAATAATAAATAGCAGCATGTTGTTCTGGTCTAAGACATCATAAAGCATTAACAATCACTTTTACTAACTTCATACAATATCATTCATTAAATTGTGTTAAAGTCATTGGTCTATACTGGACATCGACACAGACTAAGATTAAAGCAGCCAGTTAGATTTCATGATATTCCTTATTAAATCCACTCCTTGCCTTTAAGAAGAGTCTCACGCTTCTCTGGCCTGAGCCACCAAAGAGTAACTCTGAGTTTTGAACATTTGTGGGGTTTTTACCTGTGTGTTGCACGATTCTAACACCGCTTATATTTAAAAGAGATTTAGATTTTATATTTAAAAGAGATTTAGCTTTTATATTTAAAAGAAGAGATTTAGAGAAGCTATGGAAGCAATTTCTCTCTTTAGCCTGGTAAAGGAGTTGCTGGATCTCAACTGTTTGGCTAGCTTACCTCTGCATAAAGCAAAGTTATCCAAAATTTGAGAACTCACAGAATGAGTGATGCATGCCAGGCAGGCATGCTCCCACTTCAACTGAGGACCTTGGTCATTCACTTGAAAAGTTTCTAAGAGTCATAAATAAAATGGGAGAAATTTTCCAGTGGCGGTACTTTCAGAATCATTTTTAAAATCATGTCGGTTAAATAATCCTCTAAAAAGCGACATGGAAAACTATACTTTTCTCTAAATTTGAAGACTGCATTCACCTGTTCAGCAGAAGGATTTTAGTTATACAGATGTCACTAGGCAATGCACGTCCAAAGCTACGACGGAACACACCACAACACTACGTACCATCCGAGTCTATACTGTTTAGTGCTGTTGGAGGTATGATGGATACCTTACATTGGCCAAGGGGACATTTACGAGGATACAGATCTTTACAGGCAGTGTGAACCTGCAATAAAAAAAAAGGTAAAAAATTATTTCCC